GAACAGAGTGAGGTAATTTCAATAGACATTGCTTTATTTACCATTATTCACCAAGCTGTTCTTTCATTTCTTCGGTATAGTTAGCGAGGTAGGGAGACGCCGTGGTGTAGCGGCTAGACGCTCTCCTGCGAATCGGAAAGATAGGGGGCTAGAGTCCTTAAAGAGCCGGACTTTTTTTTCTCAAAAATGACAATGACCCAGCTTTGCGTGAATGCCAGGTTAAGTCATGGGAAGTAAAGGCGGTCTGTGTGCTTTTGACAGCATCAACCGCAAAGTGCCGATTGGTCTATGAAATATAGTTAGTTAGTTAGTCTTTCCTCTTGTGTCGAGTGCGGCACATAGGGCAGAGGTCATGACTCTCCATGCATGGCGGTTCGTTGCAATCTGTTGTAGGTCTTGGATGTTTGAGTGGCCCATGAGCGTACAGTTATGAAGGAGTCACAAGATAAGAATACACTGTACTAAATATGTGAGATAACGAAATCTGATATGCAAGTTACCCACATGAGTTACATTATGTGGATAATTCACGATCGGGCTTATATCTTGCATACTTATCCCGAAACTAATGATGATATGAATTATATTTAGGGATAATATTTAATTTACAAAGTGTTGCTGGAAGTTATATTGCTACCCTATAACGGTCGAGTTATTTCCATTTAGGATTACTGTCCTTAGGATTTATATAACAAGGGAAAAAATCAATCTGGAGTGAATCCCAGAAGCCCCCTTCATCCATAAAACAGTTACGTATATTAGGACACCCCTACGAACTAACCTATAGTCTAATGATTGGATGACATTAAAACTACAATCAAACTGTTGTGGCTGCTGCCCTGTTACTCTGCATTTCCAGATTTAGATTGTTTAATTTAATGATGTTAAACTTTCAGGGAGCAGCCAGGAGGGAGAAACAACAGCAGCAGTAACCTTCAACGTAGTTATGTATGTGCTTTGCTGGGAAAAGGGGGGGGGGGGTCGTAATGTTCAACCAGCATCACCGAGAGGCATTCTTTAGATTATAATTGTGACAATGTTATGTGCGCCATATAGAATGACTTAGCATTGCTAGCCACCAAGTAGCTCTGAAAAGAACTCTTGCAGTGTTTATGCGATCAAAGGAGATAGACCATATACTGTCCCGATCGGCGACAAGTCGTGTACCGGCGAGCCACTGGGTTACCCTGTCGCCGATGAATAACCTTTAACACCATCACAGAGGTATGTATAGCTAGAAAAGCGATGTGCCGTGACGGTGCAAAGTCATTTACCAAGCTGTCCGCGACTACAGATCCATTTTAAGAATACAAAGGAAGCAGCAATGAAGTAAGGATATCGACTATGGCCAAGCATAACATAAATTCAAGAAATTAATTAGCAGCACTTTATTTCAGGTGGTGTGCAGATCTGCCCTTTTTTGTGTATCTATTTTCAGCACTGGTTATAATTAGTAATAGACACTTTGTCGTGAGCACCAGCGATTCAGTGTTTATTTTTTTTTCGGATAAAAATAGCCAACCAAGTAATATATCAGAGGATGACTTTAGATGGTGTACACAGCCTGGTGGGGGTAGCCGTGTAGCAGCTAGACGCTCGCCTGCGGATCGAAAGGTCGTGGGTTCGGGTCCTGACAGAACCGTGCTTTCCTCAAAAACAACCTCTTATCCTAGGTCGACCCAGATTTTAGTGTGTACCAGGTGCATTCCTGGGAAGTAAAGGCGGCCAGCGTGATGTTGACTACATCACCCAGGCGTAAAAAAACCTATGCGAGAGGTAAAAACTGTATACACAGGGAAGTTAAATGGTCGTAGACCACGAAGCAGACCAAGAAAACGATGAAGATATAATATTGAGACAGACAGACCTGGTGTCACCAGCTGGAAAAAAAAAAACGCCAACCAGAGAGATAAGTGAAGGCTAGTGATATTTGCAGCAATAAACCCCAAGGGCTCAGAAATCGGAAGAAGATGAAGAAGAAATAGAAGAGCAGGAGGAGGAAAAGGAAAATAAGAAGAAGTGCGTTTGTCTGTGTACTTTTTATTGAACGGTTTGTTCTTAAAAAAGCAATGAAGCGAAAACGATATGGACGTTCGACCAAAGAGTCACTTCCGTTACTTTGTAAATACATGTTGACTACTTGACTTGCGATTTCCGCTGTAGTCTTGCAGATAATTCTAGGATACTAATTGCGGACTAATCGGTTTTGTAAGTGTTTAGTTAATATTCAGAAAATGAGTGCTAGTTATAACTTAATGAAAGCAAGTTTCATGATTGTAAATCGTCATGTTCGCGGATGTGCCATTAATATTAATTGATTAAATAAATTTGCGGCTTTCATTTGACCAGCGACCCTAGGGGACGCAATCTACTGTAAGTTGACATTGCTTAAACTGACGAACATAGAGGACGTAATCCAGTCTTTCTGTAAGTTTACATAATAATAAAATTCATGATATTCTAATAATTGAGATATCTTATTATTCTTTGATGTTAGGGTTAGAATCTGAAGCCAAATTAAATATTACGGCTTTCATCTGACCTTCGTTCCCATATTATGGCGGCCAAACAAATTTCGGCTCTACTGTCAAATTTGGCCGGTAAGCTGGACTGTAGCGGGGCTTAGTGGGAGTTATGTCCCTTGGCCAAACTCAAAACAGCTCAAAACAAGTCGCGGAAAAAGTCACGAATCAAACGGCATACTTACCTATCATCATCCAGGTGCGTGTAGGGTTGCGTAGGGTGTCTATCATCGTCCTACGGTTGCGTGTAGGGCTGCTTATTACGTGTAGGTTGGTTGTTTGCGTAAGATGAGGGGTAGGGTTAGGGTTAGGGTTTAGGGTTAGGTGTAGCGTTAGATGTGACAATTGTGACGCCGTAGTTCCCTACAGTCGTGCACAGTCGCATGCACGTGCAAACAGTTGACGGACGGTGGATGCTACTGACACGAACAATTCGCCACCGATTGGGGCATCAGCCGCCGCGCGCTATTGCTGTCATATTTGGCACACTTCCAATGGCGCCACTCCCACAAGCATCAGATTGTCGGCCAGTATTTCAACCTCCTATGTGAAAAGTGTCACATCTAACCCTAACCCTAACCCCTACCCCTAACCCTACCCCTAACCCACACCCCTAACCCTACCGCAAACCCTACGCAACCCTACACGCAACCATATGATGATGATAATAGACACCCTACGCATCCCTACACGCAACCGTATGATGATGATAGACACCCTACGCAGCCCTACGCGCAACCGTATGATGATAGGTAACCCTAGACGCAACCCTACGCAGCCCTACACGCACCCGGATGATGATAGGTAAGTATGTCATTTGATTCGTGACTTTATCCGCGACTTGTTTTGAGTTTGGCGAAGGGACATAACTTCCACTAAGCCCCTCTAAGCCGGCCGAAGCAGTCCAGCTTACCGGCCAAATTTGACAGTAGAGCCCAAAATTCAAATATACCCTACAGTTAGAGGGCCTCAGTCGTGTGTAAAATGCGGAGTGCTTGCAGAGGAGCAAATGAGGAGAGCCAGTATTACTCATTACATCATCAGAACATCATTATGTCAAGGTACACAAATGATGGGTTGTGTCCCTTATGGTCACCATAAACAAACAGTAGACTGTGGATACCCCTGAAAAGTCACTGTTCTAAGGAGAGCTGATATTTATATCCCCCAGATTTGACTTTCTTTTTTCAACTTTTCAACTCTGTGACTCTGTTCTGTAGCGCCTGACTTGATTGTCGACCTGTGTTCTGTATGTACATCCATTTTACTGGTTTGTTTGTATGCACTTGGTTGTTCCTTGTGACTTGGGCTAATATAGAAGATATTTACGAACTTACTTACTGTGAAATACACTGCCTGCTGCCAGAAAAATGATTTATTGTTCGCACGCCAAAACCATATATCACAGCCTGGTATCTCTGCAATAACTCCTTATAATTGTTTCGATATGAGTTTTCACGTAAAGGGGTACAGAAAAGTTATTTCTTAATTCACTGTCAGAGTACGTTCATACGCCCATGCCGGAAGAGGGAGATTGAATGGCTGCCTAGCATTTATGACAGTATCATCCCTAATTCTTGTTTTGCACAGAATGAGGCCTTGGAACCCACACAGAGATTATGTTTTAGAACCGATATATTAGGAATTAATTGTAAAAAAAAAGGTTGTAAAAGCTTCACTAAATTGAATAAATAGTAAAATATTAGTAAATAATGTCAATCAGTGATATCCTATTATCTATAATATGATTGTTTTATGGATTTTTAGGCATCACTGCAGTGGTCCAGGATAGTGAGCATCTGATTTTTTAGTGTTCTTTGGATTATTTCTACAGTCCAGAACCTAAATATGTGTAACTCATAAGGAAACAGACATATTAGCAAGTTTTTCAACACTGTGCAGTAAATCATGTTCATGCTTGGCAAGCTAAATGTGACCAAGGCTCTTTGGGGGTGAGTGAATAGTGCTGAGGCACAAATAATCATTGTCTAAAGCAGCGGTTCTCAACCTACCGGTGTGACCCTTTTTTTGGTCCAATGACCCTTTCACATGGGTTGGCTAAGACCATCAGAAAACAAATATTCATTTAAGTTGTGAAGGAAAATAATTGTTTGTGAGTTGCCACCGCATAAGGGAACTGTATTAAAGAGTCGCAGCATTAGAAAGGTTGAGAGCCACTGGTAGAAAAAGAATGGTGCAGGGAGTGACCAGGATTTGTAGCCGGCACTCATTTTACAGAACGGATAGGCAAGAACAACAATATAACATAATCAGACAGCTACTGATACCATCAGAATTGGAACTTTGAACTGGCTGCTGAAGATATGGATGTAGCACTTATCTAAATGTCTTAGAGTGCTGTGATGTTGGTTTTAAAGTCACATAAATAAGATTTGTTATGTTATTGAATGATAAATATGTGAATTTATTGCTTTGTTTTCCTCAGGTGTAAGGCAGCCAACAGATCAAGGTGGCACAATGCCATTTGGACAAGTAGTTATAGGCCCACCGGGGTCAGGAAAAACCACCTATTGTGCAGGTTTGTAACATTTAAATGCAATCGTATTTCTACTGTTCTTCAGTTACAGTTACTGTCAGCATTTTTTTTAGCTTAAAAATACTAGTAAGAATATAAATTTATAATTTAAAAAAAAAGTGTTTGAGTTCCATGGAATGTACTATATATAACTAGTAGAACAGTTACTGCCTCAAAGGCTGATTATAAATCTCTCCCTCTCTTTCTGTCTCTCTCTCTCTCTGTCAATTTTACCTCATTGTTTGTTGTAGCAGTATTCTAATATTATTTCTTAATATTCCCTGGTCACACTGATGTATACTATGTGTATTTTGCAGAGCAGCTTTGTTGGTACGATCTGTTATATTGTGTTACTCTCCTGAAATTGTATTGCCACCATTTGGTCTTCTAAAGCTCAAACCCCTGTTACCAAAAGAGTTAAAAAGGCACTGTTAGTTGAAAATAGTAATTACTGCAGAGGAACGAAACTGCGACTTTTTGCCTGATTAGCTCACGTCAGCTTCATCAGTATGCTTGTATGCGGCAGTGCCAAAAACCAAAGCAGTGACTTTGTAAAAGTAAAAGATCATTGTCATTAGGCATATTGGGCATGTAGTGTTAGATTTATATTTCAAAGACCAAATGGCACTTGGTGGGTAATGTGGTCAACATCCACTGGTCACCTTTATCTCCCAGGACTGTACCTCTTATTAGGTTAGGTTGACCTGAAAGCCAAAGCCTTATATATAGATTTAAATCTGTGTATATGTATGTGTATGTATGTATGTATGTATATATATATATATATATATATATATATATATATATATATATATATATATATATATATATATATATATATATATATATATATAAAAATCAGGCTTAGTGGAGATTTGAACCTACAGCCTTTGGATCAGAGATGAATGTCTAATGACTTTTACTGGATGGCAAATACCTATCATTAGTCCACACAACCACTGGGTTAGAAAACATGTGGAAAAAAAAATATTGGTACTGCTAACTCAGTGGGCAAAGGTTCAAATCTACATTGATACTGAAAAAGAAAAGGCTAGATAGTCTGCCAATAGCTTCGAGGGATAACATTAACAAAATTGAGCTAATATTGATTGTCACTGTAAGGATCAATGGAGAGAGATGATCATCTACACTTTTGGCAGGGTTATTAGTTAGATTATCTTCACAGCACTCCGGACACATCCATAGGCGCTCTGATTCCCCTCTCAGCATATTCATCAGCGTCGCACAGTTAATAGTGCCAGTCCTATGTTGGTTAACAAGACTTCATGTGTGCCCGGTGCACTTCTCATGCTTGGCTGTGCCGATCTTGACTTTTAATTCTTGTATTCTTAGCTGTGATGTGGACACATTACTTCCAAAATCCTCAGAACGTGTTATCTCTCTAAGGACAGTGACAATGTCTGCGTGATCCATGGACCGGCCATCTTCAGTTAATGCAGCACCTGTCAGTCTATCAGCTCTTTCATTACCAACAACGCCTGCATGCCCTGGGACGAATATGAGGCAGGGTACATAAAGATGCTAAAGGCTAAATACTTCATACGTAGGCTTTTTTCTTTAATGTACTCTTAATGGGGAGTGTAAGAAAGGTAATGTTGGAAATCCACCAAACATTAGTGTGTATGACCATCAGCTGCTGGCTGTAAATGAGTTTAAGTACCTAGGCTCACGTATCTCAAGCAATCATTCTCTGGATGCAGAACTAAACAAACGTATAGGAAAGGCCTCTGCTATGTTTGCAAATCTCACAAAGAGAGTCTGGTCAAACAAAAAGCTAACTGATAATACGAAAATAAAGGTTTATGAGTCTTGTGCCCTGAGCACATTACTGTACGGCTGCGAATCCTGGACTCTCTATGCTCCACAGGAAAAAAGACTGAATACCTTCCATATGCGCTGTCTGGGACGCATCCTTGGTATATTATGGCGAGACCTTGTCTCCAATGAATGTGTGCTCATAAGAGCAAAAATACCATCAATGAGATCTCCTATATGGTGAATTGGTAAGTGGGAATAGACCTACAGGAAGGCCAAAGCTGCGCTATAAAGATGTATGCAAACGTGACCTAATAGATACCAACATAGGCACAGAGACATGGGAAAAATCAGCTGCAGATCGACTACTATGGAGACAGAAAGTGAAAGACGGACTGTCACATTTTGAAAGAAACCGAATACAACGAGCTGTGGAGAGGAGACACCGGAGAGTAAAACTGCCTCACAACGAGGGAGTATCTGCTTTTGTGTGTATCCTGTGTGGCAAAGACTGCCATTCCCGCATCGGACTTTACAGTCACAGCAGATGCTGTTCCCAAAGCCAGCGGCACATCTCCATAGTCCCCCGGGACTGACGGATGCCATTGATTGATTGATTAAGAAAGGTAAAAGTCAAAGGTGTTATTTTCTCTAGAAATGCATCCTCAAGGTAACCGACTCTTTATTTGTTTGAAATTTTGCTCAGAAGTAATTCTATAACTGGCTTTGACAATATCAGCAGATGTTTAGTCTTTGTGTTAAAACACTTGTCATCATCACATGTGATACTGCCACTCCATATACAGTATTTGTCATATTATACGTAATATTACCACTTCTTTTACAATATTTATCATCACACATGATACTATTACTCAGATTGCAGTATTTATCTTCATATTTGACACCCTACTCCATATGTGTGTGTAACTTTTATCATTATGCGATGCTACAAATTTATATACAGCGTTTATCATTATCATATGTGATACACTTCATATACACTGTTTATCATTACAGTGGTACACAAACTTATTTCGTTCTTTGATTCTATTCAAGAACTGAAATGTCCGTAAGCCACATTTCATTTTCTCATTAAAATCAACGCAGATCTAATTTTAAAAAAAAAACAACTTTTTTAATGTATGTATGTCTTCATATGTATTATAGAATAGCTCTATGCCAAGGCCAGCAGTGCTGTCACGCTGAACAGACAAATAGGAAGCTGGTTCCGAACAACAGTAGGAGTCTAGCAAGACTGCCTCCTTTCTCCAACACTAACATCTTTTTAAAAAGAATTATGACTGATGCCCTAGAACAATATCATGGAACAGTTAGTATAGGAGGTCGAACTATAACATATAACAGACTTGAGGTTTGCAGATAACATCAATGGATTGGCCGGAGAAAAACAAGAACTAGTCGAGCTTGTAAATTTACTGGGTGAAATTTCAACTAAGTATGGCATGGAAATAAACACAGAAAAAAACAAAAGTAATGACTAATAATCCAGCTGGCAGAATTTCACAAATCTTAAGGCTTTAAATTAGAACATGTGACTCATTTCTAATATTTAGCATCCATTTCAAGTGACTTGGTGTCAAGATCAGAAATCATGTTTAGGATTGCCCAGACAACATGTGATGTGTAGCAAAAATAAAAATAAAAATGTACGGTGTAACTATTAACTTTACCTTTGTGGTTGATAGTTGCTGGCACCAGCAGATGGTAGAGGTGGAGGAGGAAGACTACTCCTTCGAAGTAGAGTCCCGTTCCATAATAATTTTGGGCGACTAGTATTTCTGGAATTTTTACTTCTTGTTTGTATCCTAGAAAGTGGTTCAGTTGCTAGCATGGTGACTAACAATACTTTTTCTACTTTTTCTAACACTTGATACCTTTGGTTTGTTAACATAGGGGAAGGTTATGGTGCATCTTACCCGCCGATGGCCATATCGTAGAGCTTTGAGGTATTTTATAGAATTAGTTGTCCCACTAACTAACTCGCCTCCTCAGTGACCATCACCTGTTTTGGTCCACGGCCACTTATTCAATATATTCGTGGGTAACCTCTATATCTAGAGGCCTTTCCACTATCCACTACCTGGTGGACACGCCTAATAGTAGGACAGGCTTTTACCCCAGGATAATCATAATATGTAATACTAATATGCCAGATTATATGGTACAGAAGTGGTGAAGCATATCTGTGTCATCTTTAGGGTAAAGATAGGAGATACTTTAACCAGATTTTCATGGGACAATCAGTAGAGGTATCTTGGAGTGGCTGCTGCATGGGAGGACTGAGCATGCAAGGAAATGCCCAATATGCAAAGATGTTGATTGTGATAACATAACATACAGTAGTCATATGTGATACTGCCGCTCTGTATATAAAATGTATCCCTTTTGCAGGCATGTCTGAGTTCTTGTCATCTTTGGGGAGAGACGTAGCAGTTGTAAATATGGACCCTGCCAATGATCGAGTGCCTTTCACATGTGCTGTAGACATATTTGAACTTATTTCCCTGGAAGATGTAATGACACATTTACGGTTAGGGCCCAATGGAGGCCTTGTTTATTGTATGGAGTACCTTGAACAGAACTTTGACTGGCTCAAAGAAAAACTAGATGCACTCAAGAACAAGTACATTCTGTTTGATTTTCCAGGCCAGGTAAGTTTTTGCCTGTAGCTAAATAATAATATACTTAAATTATACAAATTATTTTTTATTTTATCCTGCATTGAAATCCTAGAAGATCTGAACATCAGGAAGGATTTGCTGGTAAACAGTATCTTGTCTCAGAAACTGAAATATTTTTGGCCATATCAAGCGCCAGGGAGGATTAGAAAAAATAATAGCAAAAGGCATGGTACCAGGAATGAGAGTCAGGAGCCAACGCTGACCAGCACAAAGATGGGCACAGGATATAAGTGGCACCTTGGGTAGGAAAGTGCACAAGAGGGAGAGCTGGCAGTGAGCGCATTCTGCAAAGGATCAGCTTAATGTTGATATTGATGATGATCCTATGTTAAAATGTGTGCATTTTGTCATTATTTATCATTGTTTTTTTTTCAGCAATCTTTTTGTTTGTATTTTGCTTTTATTAACTGTTATGCTGATAAAACACTTATATGTTTATATAACATACAGGAAATGACTCAGTAATTTTGAACACTGCTTCATTAAGTGGTTGGTCATTACTTCAGCTTTAATTATTATTACTTGTTTTAGAAAATCATTAAAATAAGTAGAATATGTGAATCCAGAAAGTCTTTTCTATATATTTGAATGTTTTTTTAATTATAAATAATAATAATCAATCAGTTTATGTAAACTGCACATTTTATGTTTGATAATCCAAAATGAGATCCTGTTTTGACCTGATTTACTGATAATAAAACCGCTTTTTTTTAATTTTGGATCATTAAAACAGTTCTTGGTGATAATGCAGCAGCATATTTATTATTGCTACTGCTAGAAACGCTGGCGTTGGATAGGACGTACATTGAGAAAACTGAAGAACAGCATAACTAGATTGTCTTTGCATTGGAACCCACAGGGGCATAGAAATAAAGGAAAGCCAAAAAACACACGGAGAAGAGAGCTGGAGAATGAAGTTAGAAAGTTGGGAGGACAAAGGGAGAGCTCCACGCAATAGTGAAGAATAGAACGACTTGGCGTGAGTTGTTTGAGGGCCTATGCTCAATTGGGGGATAGGAAGGCAGAAGAAGACTGCTAGAGAAACCAGTTTGTGCATTGTGTACTTTTACTTCTTTTTTTCCATTTGTTTGTTTGTGTTCACTGGCTGTAAACTTCTGCGAAAAATCCTGATTGTATATCCAATTCTGAACTGTGGCTGTATAACCAAGACTTGAGTTTTGCCTGTGCTTCTGTTTTCTTTCTTCACTTTTGTGTTATGTCTTTCAGTATCAGGTTAGCATGAGTTTACTGGACAAAATCTTTGTATGCACTTTTTACAGATAAGTGTGTTTTTTTTTTTTTTTGCAGGGCTTTTTTTTAAATTAGAAAAAGAGATTTCGGTTCTCACTGCAAAGTGTCTAAAAAGGTGCCGGTACTCATCACTCAGTGAGTTTTGAAAAAGCATTGAAAAAATGTGCTGGTACTGCACACCATTGCGTTTTTTAACCTCTCATTTCCTTAATATTTGTTGTTGTTGTTGTTTGGACTGTCTTTTGCTTTAATTTAACTTATCTGAATGTCAGTACAGGCGCTTGGTAACACAGTGGCTTGTTTAGTTGTTTGCCAGCCTAGTGACCTTCTGTTTAAATTCCTGCGGTGGGGCTTGAACAGAGATCCATTTCTGATTGTCTCCTCTTAGTGTTATGTTAGATTTGTGTACAGCTTTTCAGTTGCATAAATAATGTGCAAGAAAAATGTGTAGTTTGTCCGGACTTACTCTTTATTTACAGTACTTTTTACCGTGAACAGCATTGTCTGTGTGCCACTTTAGTAACTGATTGAAAATGTGTTCTTTTTGCAGGTGGAGCTGTATACACACCATAATTCTGTGAAAAACTTGCTAGAGAAACTGACATCTTGGGACTTCCGTTTAACTGCTGTACACTTGGTTGATTCTCATTACTGCTCAGACCCTGGCAAGTTTGTCGCTATCCTCCTGACTTCACTAAACACAATGTTGCAGGTTTGTACTTGGAATACTAGACATACCATATATGGCAGAAGCATGTTGCTTGACACAAAAGCAAAGACTGATATGTTACATAAATAGTCTTCTTCACCTTTGATCCTTCAGTGCAGCAAAAGCTGTAAAAAATTTTTACTACTTAGTATCTCTTGTTAGATGCCCCTGTGTTGTAGCGGCTAGAGGCTCCTTTGCGGATCTGAAGTTTGTGGGTTCAGGTTATGACAGTCAGACTTCTTTAAAAAATTACCTTGTCTTTCAGGTCAGCCCGGCCTTATATGGGTACCAGGTAAAGTCATGGGAAGCAAAAGTGGCCGGGCTGATGTTGACCACATCACCCACCAAATTTGTGTATAAGATATAGGTCTAGCCTTTTTACTTTTACTGTCTCTGGCAGTGCCTTCCTTGTCTCTTCCATATTGCTTATTTCTGTTTCTAAAAATGTTATTAATAAATACGTTTTTTTTGTAGACTTAAATTTCTTTTGGTTGCTAGGTATTCATGGCATCTATGTGACCCATGTTTGGGGTTGCAAGATGAGTTGAGGTGACATTTCTTTTTTGTCTTGTGATTCCAGAAAATCTTTCTAGTTATTATAATGACTGGTTCTATCTGCATATATCTTATCCAACACCATTTCATTTCCTATCTTTATTCTTTGGAACATATCTATTTTTTTTGCTTCCAGATTTTATTACCTTTAGAGCTACTGTGAAAACGTTGCAATCTTTCTGTTTCCTTGCAAGCACCAGCTTTATATTCTGTAATACTTGCACACATACACAAACTGTACAATTTGTTGGTAAAGTGTTTTAATAGCTGTGGAAAAGTAACTTTAATTAGTAAATAATAAATTTTGCTTTAAATTTAGGTCTGTAATTTCAAGATAAAGTAAAAAAAATGCAGCTTTTTTTTCTTCTGAAAATTCAAAATGTATAGTTGACATGGAGCAATCATTGAGAGGCAGATCACATTATGTATTTTGATGATCTTGAAGTATTCCATGTATTATTTTGTATTTTCAGTTAAGCCTTCCTCATGTGAATGTATTGTCTAAAATTGACTTGATAGAAAAGCATGGTAAACTAGCTTTCAACCCTGATTTCTACACTGATGTCTTGGATCTACACTATCTGTTACATCAGTTGCAGGTAAGACATTCCATGGATATTTAACCCTTTCAGCCAGTAAGAAGAAATATATTTATATATAAACATACATTTTTCAAAATTTCCTTTAAAAAAATGCACTTATTAGTTTTGGAAACTCTACGTTAAGAAATTAGGGAGCTTTTTTCAAAAATGATCTTGGTTATTACATTCACCCAGCCTTGAGTGAGTACCAGGTATAGTCCTGGGAAGTAAAAATGCTGACCACATCACCCACCTAGTGCGGTTTGGTCTGTAAGATATAGGTCTAGCCCTATATACTCAATACGCCTGAAGGATTGGAAAAGGGTCCTTTTTTTTTACTAAGAAACTAAAGGAAGAGAAGAAAAAGCAGAAGGAATTTTGAGTCTTAGACAATTGATTTTATAATTTTCAAACTAAAGAAAAAAGCTATATAATATGGGATTTAATCATTAAATACAAACAGTGCAGAGAATTAACTTCTTTCACTCCCTTTGTGTAAGATACATATGGTTTTATTAACATAGCTGCATTGAACCAAGTGATGTCATCATAAGTTCATCATGACCTGATGATATCAGAGTTCGCCCCCGCCCCCCCTCCCTCCCTCCCCAAGTTGTTTTTCTCCACCAGGTAACATTCAAATTATTTCTTTTAAAAAAAAAAGTTAATTCCACTGTTTCTACACACTACAGTTAACAATCAGAACCAAAGCTATTGTACAGGCAAAGTGATCACTGCTCAAAGACATCATGCCGTCCAAACACTCAGCATTAAATGGCAAGAGAGTTAATAAACGATACAACATTGTGAGCTAAATATACTTTTAGGATGGGAACCAGATGTAGAAGAAACTGCAGTTGATGAGCATGAACTGATACTATTATCGAAGTATGAGATAATTTCCTTGATATAATGTACATACTATTCACTATTATGAAAAGATATAACATATACTTTTGTCTTATGTCATGAATTCATTCATCTAGTATGGTTTTGTAGTTTATTTTGACCATTGTGGATTTCTTTTCTAGATCATATTTCAAGTATTACAGTTCTGCCAGCAAACTGTCTCTGTTATATCTGTTTGGTGGATGAATATTCGCCTTGAAATCACATATTTCTATTCTACTCAATTTTAACTGCGTAGTTGTTGCATTATTGCCAGGTGAAGATGTAAAGTTTGTTAGCATTTTACACAAGTAAACAAAACAAGTTTTTTAATTTATGTTTTTGTGACTGTAATGTTTTTTTTCCTGTGATTATATTCTCATGAAGTCGGCTCTGTGGCTAAGTCGATGCGAACGCTTCGTAATGCCGGGTTCAATCCCAGCTGTGGGGCCATGCGCCTTGCGTTGGTTTTGACAGTGGTATCAAGAAAGCAGACCGTCCAGAAAGCAATGGACTACTGGACGTAAATTTGCCTAGAAAAAGCACACAACAGCCTTGCGTGAGTACCAGGTACAGTCCTGAGAAGTAAAGATGGTCGGCAGGTAGCTGACCACATCACCCACCTAGTGCGGTTGGGTCTGTAAGATATAGGTCTAGCCAGGGGCTGTTGGGGTTGGCTCTGCAACGTCCTGTAAAGGATACGCAACTAACAATTCTCATGAAGCAGACCCTTTCCCACTCTCAGTTTTAATTGTGGATTCTTTAGCTTTTATAATAGTCTGTTTCATACATATTGATCTGAATATTGGTGCACTCTGTGAGCAGGAAGTCTGTAGCTAACCAAACATGTTTTTATTTTGGCTGGTTCTTATTTTTTGTTCTCTGTTGAAGTCATTGTCACATGTTTCCAGTTGATTCTTTGTCAGATACACCTCTGCTCTGCTGGCTTTTATTAGTATAACCTGCAAATATTGTATAACTGATTTAACTGTGAGACTTCATTATAGCAAAAAAAAAACAATTTATATTTGTGTTAAGCATATATACTTAATGTGAGATAATCGCACAATTTGTAAACAATGTTCTTGTTTACATGAGAATAGTTTGGAAGTTGATATATAGTAACATTTTGGTGTGCTTATATTCAAGGCTTTTCTTTTCCTATCATCATTTTTTTTCAGTGCTACTGTAATAGACGTTTTTTGGTCAGTGCCAGTACCTTTTTAAGACACCTTGTAATGAGTACCAGTACTTTTTTTTTCTTTTTATATAGAAGAAAGCTCTGCTTATTTGTGAAAAATAAATTAAGTATCTCCCAGATATACTACATACAGCATCATGTCAGCTGCTGGTAAAGATTAAGTGGCGATAAGTGCTAAGATGCTTTTATTTGACTTCAAAGTTTCATGTTTAATTCCGTAAAATCTCATGCACCTAATGTGGAAAACTTTTCTTAACCAGTCAGTGTCTTTACAAGTCACCATGTATGGTGATTTCAATACCTTCCTTCAGAGTCTGGTCATTTTTGTGTCTGTTGTGTTTTGTTTCTCGCATTGTTAGGCTGATTAAGGCTAATCACAGCATTGTCCTTTATTGGTCTTTTGTAATTGATCCTGTAAAACTGACATATAATTTATGTTTTTCCAATCTACTTTATGCCTTCCTATAGCATATTATAACACTATTGTTTTGAAAGATGGAAAGGTGCCAACCAGCCAGTTAGTTCAATGTTAATTATGTGACTTCATAATTTAAATAATGTTTACTTGCATGAAAATAGATGGCTATGTTTGATTATACTTGTATTTTATTTAGTGGAACCAGAATTGAGATACATTTTTTTAAATGTCCATGCCAACTGACAGTGGTCAGCTTAACTGGCCAGTCTTCTGTCATGTGCACCCCAGTAGTTTTTGATACAAATATTTCTTCATGAAGTGATATCAAAGTGTTTTTGATTCAAATGTTTCTTCATGATTTGATATCAAAGTGTTTTTGATACAATTGTTTCTTCATAAAGTGATATCAGAGTGTTTTGATACAAATGTTTCTTCATGATTTGATATCAAAGTGTTTTTGATTCAAATGTTTCTTCATGATTTGATATCAAAGTGTTTTTGATACAATTGTTTCTTCATGAAGTGATATCAGTTTTTTTTTTTGGTACAGATGTTTCTTCATGAAGTGATATTAAAGTATTTTTGACACAAATGTATCTTCATGAAGTGATATTAAAGTATTTTTGATATCTCTGTGTTGAGGTTAGTACAGAATACTTCAGATCTATGTTTTATCTTTGCCTACAATTCTTTTTTTCTGAATATTGATACGTTACATTGTTGAGAGCGATGTTTCTTCTTTCTGTTTGCAGAATTAGTTTACAATTTTTATTATAATTAGCAATAAAATTATGTAATTGTAATTACTTAATATCTGTGTTATCTTTTCTCTGGGGTTAACAAATGCTACTAAAGATTTGTGCAAGTGTACACTTTTTATTTTTTAAGATAGATGCTTGTCAAACAAAAATCAAATAGAGTGTCATGGTTAGAGACAGGAGAGGTCTGACAGCGCTGAAGGTGATGGCATGTGCCGACATTGAACAAATGTCAACTTTTCCTTCTCTGTCAGGGACTTGTACTGTTACAGACTTGGGTCTAGGCCTCCTCACTGTCAGCAGTACACAGCTAGAACGACTGGTCTGGGTGCAAAGTGAGGCCATGGGACTCATACAAGGCTGCACAAAAGACCCCCTCCTGCTATGCCATGCGATATGTCCTGGGTTTACCGATGATGGCCACCAGACATAAATTGGCACTGGTGAAGGCGTACATAAGAATATCAGCAGACATCTACTCAGACTCACTGCACAAGACTTTCAGTGATATAAAAGGCATGCATCTCAACAGAGGCCCCTCTTGAATGGTGGAGGCATACATTTAATCCATCAGGTGTGTGGCCTAGATGAGATCAGTCACCGAAAAGAATGGATAGATACACCGGAAGACATGCATGACTTGTCTAAAGTAGTGTAACACTGGGGAGGTACTGTAGGAGTCACATACCTGCCACCGTAGACACTTAGATTAGGGCACTGATTAAACAGCATTCATACCCAGATATATTGTCCTTTACAATGATGGGTCTGTGAAGTGCGGGTCAAGATCAGCAGGGGCACAAAGGATGGGAAAAACAGAGGAGAGCGGCCCTTGCTAGACAACTACGCAAGAGTGACCATGGAGATAACTGCTGCTTCCATAGCACTCATACGGGTTGCAGAACAAGCGGCCACACATGTGGTAATAATCAGACTATATGAACATGCTTCAGAAAATCGCTACAGGTAGTCTATGCTCTGAATGGTTAGAAAGCATTCAGAAGTCATAGTTAACCTCCACCATCTAGATGTACACACTTGGGCACAAAGCAGTAAATGTTAATGAAAGAGCTGACCAGTTGGCAAGTAATGCATCAATGTAAGTGGGAAGAAGCTTGGTCAGAGCTAACATTAATGCTGTACAGACTAGGTTGGGGGATAATGTTGAATCTCTGACGCTAACACGATTGTGTGACCGAGGAGTTCGGCTTGGTGAAGCACGTCTATGCCATCTTCAAGGTAAATACAGAAAATACAATAATCAATAATCATGGGAACAATCCAGTAGAGATACCTTGGAGTTCCTGCTGCATCGTAGGGCTGAACATGCATGGGAATACCCAGTGTGCAAAGACGTGGATTGTAATAACATAACATAAAATTACATTATTCTTGTACCAGCAGCTACTATACTAGGCATATCTTGTCATGCTTACCAACAGTTTGCTCTCTTTCTAACTCCTGTCATTTAATTAAATGTTTCTATTCATATGGGAGATAACATTATACTCTTGCATGAAATATTTTGTTTTAGTCTCATTCCAATAACACAGCAAACACTAAGATTAATTAATTGTACATGCTCTCATTTTAGTAAGCAATTCTTCTTCTTTTCTTCATGCTCACCGGTGGAAAGTTCTGGACTCTAGTCCTGTTCTAGAACCTGAGTGTTGCGTGTGCATCTGTTTCACAGATTTGACTCATTTGCATGCAGACTGTTGGTTCCTTGCCTTTCAGACAGATGTACTCCGACTTCGAAGAAAGCTCCCAATTAGTCAACTTTTACGACTTGCATTTGGGCAAGCAGTGGGTCTGTTCTTGTTTTCTCCACAATGGGGCCCTGGAACCCACATGGGAAAGTAAGCAATACTGTATTTCTGTAGGAAATGAGCAGCTTGTAAGAGACCAGAAATGCTAATGACATTTCACATTTTGACACTTTTACATGCTTTTGAATCCTCAGGACAAAGAAAGCATGCTTAGAGTTCTGAAAGCTGTGGACAAATGTAATGGCTACGTTTTTGGTTCTCTAGAGGACAGAAGCTTGGAGTCATTAATGTCTTGTGCAGTAGGTGCAGAGTTCGAGTATGATAAAATTAAGGACATTAAAGAACGTTATATGGAAGATGATGAAATGAATGATGCTAGTTGAAATAAGTTGTGAAATATTCTGTCAACTGTGCAGGCATGTTGGTTATGACAGAATCAAAGTGCAAACTGTTAAAAAAAATGCAATAAATAAATTTGATTACAAAAGCTGAGTGATAGTTTCATTACATGTTTATCAGAATGTTATGAGAGGGTTGAGTGGTCTCGAGGTATGATGTCCGTCTCGAGTGCTGGAGGTCTCTGGTTCAATCCCCGGTGAATGCTGGAATGTTTTCATGCGGACCTCTAGTAATGTCCTCAGATCTCTGGATAGTAAGGTCGGATACCTATGTGTATTCTTGGGCACGTAAAAAAAAAAAAAATAACTTGACAGCTGGAAATCTAAAAGAATAGCCTAGAGGTGCTGCCCGGGCAAAATTTGGACATCTACCCAAAGTATTTCATCATCCTCGCTGTTGCAATGGAGTTTGTGCACTGTGCTGAGATTCTTCAGACTCAGGCTTGAGTTAGAAGTAGAACTGAGCACTTATGGGTTACACCTGTTTGCTATAATGTTGATTTGTCAAATAAACATAAAGGAGTTTATCCCATCTTGGACAGCTTACTTTTGCTCCAGGGTTACTGAGTATCTCTCTTTCACATAGCTGTGGGCCATCAGAGTCGCTGTTTCCTTCCATGTGAGTAGATTTTCTTTTTGTTTGAGAACTGTTTTACCATGAGATGGGTTGTCATCATTCAGTGCTATTGTCAGTCTCCAAAATTTTTTGGTATATTTTTCCATGTTCAGAGAGGCAGGATTTTCTACACTGGTGGTTTCTGTCTCTGACGAAAAGGAACTTCCAGGTTTTTTTTTGAGCAATGTGGCTTATAATTGTGACTTCTTCCTCTAAGAATTGCTTTCTTTGCTGCATTCATTCGGCCTTGCCACTCCTTCCTGGTACCATACCTTATTCTATTGTTTTCCAGTTCACCATGGCGCTTGATTTGACCAAAATGTTTCAGCTTCCAAGACAGATGCTGTTTATTACCCAATCTTCCTTGATATTCAAGTGGTTTAAAATGTCATTTTTTCTTCTCTTTTTCATCCATGATATTCTGAGAATCTTTCCATAGCATTTCAGCTCAAAGGCCCCTATTCTCTTCCTTAAGGATTAGGAGATAGTCCCCGACTCACATCCATATGTTGCTACAGGGAAAATGCATGCTCTAAACATTTTAAGTATAGCAACTTTATACAGTTATAAGAGTATATTTATGTTACTTGTTATCCGCATCGACATCCAAGCTCATTGATGCAACACATTTATGCTCTGTCTTCAGATGCAGTAGTCATTTCAGTGTCTCCATGCTCACCTTAAAAGGAGTTGACTGGTGTATCTTCCTTTTCCCACAAGTTTCTACATGCTTGTCCTTGGTTAAAACCCATTTCCAGCAGGCGGTTCATCATCGCTGACTCCTTTATCTCCTTGCTTCTGAAACACAGCGCATTCAATATATCTGCTCTGTTCATACTTCTTCCTCCACCAACCACTTTAGACACAGCCAGTCTGTCAGCTCTTTCATTTCCTTTGACCCCGGTTGTTGCGCGCTGATTTGGGTAAAGTGTGATATTGTGTGAAGGGACAGTGGTATGAGAGTAATTCTATAGTGCCATGAGAAAGTGGACGTGTGGGTTACTGTGTGGGGGCTGAAAGCATGGCTAACGAGATAAACACAGAAAGTGTGAATTAAGTGACAGCGTGATTCTCAGGTAACATCAGCAACACACATAAGTGTGATCCTCGAGAATGCCCACAGGAACATGATTCACGAGAGCGCCCATACGAGCGTGCCTCTCGTGTAAACATCATCCACCTACACGGATTGGAGGGGGATAAATTGAGGGCTCAATATTCAGTCCAGAGGCAGTCGAGAGAGAAGAGAGAGAGAGAGAAAGCGAGAGTCAGAGACCAAGTCAGGGTCCGTGATATCTCTCTCGAGTCTAACAGATAATAATACCATTCGACTATCAGGCATTTAGGTCTGAGTAAGTGTTGAGGCTGCGGTACTGGTCGAAGGTATGGTCCTGCTGGCGAAATAAGTCCATGGGGACGGAATGCTCCAGTAGTACCTGTTCTGGGTGGCAACGTAGTGAAACGTAGGAGGACCACTAGTGAACTAGAACAGGGGGGAATGGTACCGACGAGAGCTGTGTGCTAGAGGGGACTTATGGTAGAAGTCCTGTCGGTCATCGAAGCCCTTCGACAAGCTGATGACAGCTGTGTGTTTTCGGAGTACGGCAAGGGAAGTCCGTCTCCAATCAGTCGTGTTATATGCTGAAATAATATCAAGGTCCAGTGAATGGGAGAATTCATCCTGTTCAGCTGTACAGCGCGTCCAGAGTGTGGGACGCTGTAGTCCTTGGAGCTGTAGTGGTCAAGGAGAGGTCGCTACAAATTGAGAGAGAGAGCAAGTGAGGAAAAATGAATTATGTGCGAATGTCAACTGTGATCAATAACTACGACTCTGCATTTGTGTCATGTATCTTGTTGAATCAAATGTATGACGGCGTCATCATCGTCGAGTTCTGTTTCTAGGAGAGGAAGTGGAAGGGTACCTGCTAGACACCTGGTAGTGTGCGGACTAGCACACAACACCGGTGTATCCTGGTGTGTAAGCCAATAAGTTTTCCCGAGGTGGCACTTCTGGATGCTGTCAACCCATTCTGGTTAAAGTTTGTCAGTTTGGATGTTCTTAAGCGTGCTGATTTAGTCTGTTACTATCACTGCGTTAGTTGCTGTCTGTTCTGCAGCATATACAAGTGTCCCTCTGACAGCTATCTGCACCATCATATAGAAGTAGTTGTTTTGAATTCCTGTCTTGTTTCCTTTACTGTCTTCCCATTCACCTGTGCCGTGTATGTCACCCAGACAGCACTCCACCAATCACTGAGCCATCTGTATAGATAATGAGGTCACCTGGTTGAGTGTACACATAATGGAGGGTCCTTTTGTCATTGGCTGCTTGTGTATATTTGAGTATGAGATGAACAGAAAAGCATTAGGATGACTGGAACAAGAAAATGAATCTTTCATAAATTTATGATAAATTAGTTCACTGAGTAGCCTGCCATTGATAGCCATATTTTATGGACAGAAAACAACATGTGGATATACAGAAAATATTAGCTTGACAGTTCAACCCTATTTTTAACATTACTATAAGAAAGAGGCAGTGTACTTTCAGCATGTGTTGAGAGAAGACAAGCATAAGAAAACATAGTGAAAAATGAAAAGACTACACAAAGGCAGACAGAGCATAGGCACACAGAGAGGTAATACTGGATGGTTAAAGGTGGTGACAGTAAGGAATATTATAAATAGAATTAATCCAGAACAATAAGGACTGAGATCTGTGGAGACACAGAAATAGAGACATTAAACAAGTGTCACATGAAATATTTTAACTATGTTAAAAGACATAACAATCCAAAAAGCCATACTGAAGGGACAGATTGAAGGTAAGATGTAGTTAGTTTGCTACAAATGGCAGGACAACATCAAGAGATGGAGAACCATAATATAATAGTATGCAAACAGAATAAGAGATTAAAGAGGGTTAAAAACCGATGATCGATTGTAGACAACCTTTATTTTAGAAACAGCACCTCATTGATTTATTGACTGATAAGTGCTTAAGCCACCGGGCTAGGCACACAATGATGATTTCATGTGGTTATGAAAATTGTACTTTATATATATATATATATATATGTGTGTGTGTGTGTGTGCCTTATAATATATATACTCGTGTGAATGTTCATTTTGTGGCATCCCCATAATCAGTGTTGCCTACAGTGCACCACAGCTGTCTTTTGAAATACTATTTAAGCCCCCAGTCTCTCCCACAGTGTGACTCTTGTACTACCAAGTGAAAACTACAAAAACATTTTTTTTTTACTGTCCATTGCAGAAATCAAATCCTAGTATTTAAGGGATCATGAAATTGTCAAACACATTTACTGACTTCTAAGACAAAGTTGCACATTTAAATAAACATGCATTAAACAAAAATTTACAAAATTGTTTTTGTTGCCTAATTTTTTCTTCCACCTTTTTTACTCCGTGGTGTAGTGGCTAGACATTCTGAAGGTTGTAGGTTCATGTATTGTAGTAGCCAGACTTTTTTCAAAAAGTACCTTGGAGGCTGTTGTAATATTGACCGCTACACCTATCTGTAACTGATATCTCTACCATTTTCTCTGTTCCATCACATCATGCTAGACTTATCTGTAACTGTTTTCTCTGCCATCTTCTCTGTTCCATGACATCATGCTACTCTTATCTGTAACTGTGATCTCTGCCATCTTCTCTGTTCCATGACATCATGCTACACTTATCTGTAACTGTGATCTCTACCGTCTTCTCTGTTCCATGACATCATGCTAGACATCTGTAATTGATACTTCTGCCATCTTCTCTGTTCCATGACATCATGCTAGACATCTGTAATTGATACTTCTGCCATCTTCTCTGTTCCATGACATCATGCTACACTTATCTATAACTGATATCTCTGCCATATTCTTTGTTCCATGACATCATGCTACACTTATCTGTAACTGATGTTTCTGCCATCTTTGTTTTTTGACATCATGCTACACTTATCTATAACTGATATCTCTGCCATCTTCTCTGTTCCATGACATCATGCTACACTTATCTGTAACTGATATCTCTGCCATCTTTGTTCTATTACATCATGCTAGACTTATCTGTAACTGATATCTCTACCATCTTCTCTGTTTCATGACATAATACTACACTTATGTGTAACTGACATCCCTACCATCTTCTCATGACATCATGCTAGACTTGTCTATAATTTTTGTCTCTACCATCTTCTCTATTCCATGACATCATGCTACACTTGTCTATAATTGATATCTCTGTCATCTTCTCTGTTCCGTGACATCATGCTACTCTTATCTGTAACTGGGATCTCAGCCATCTTCTCTGTTCCATGACATCATGCTACACTTATCTGTAACTGAAATCTCTGCCT